ATCTTCCTCTTTTACAAGAGTGGAAATTTGATAAACTCTTTGACCTTGAACCCATCGTTTACCATCAACTTGTTCGTATTTTCTATTCTAATGTCGCTTGTGTTAAAAACCAAACTGAAACCGAAACCATAGGAATTCGTTCCTACCTTCTAGGACAATTCTTATATATTGACTCGACTCACATAGCCAATACATTCGAATTAGATAATGATGGGATTTCAAATTAAAAACAGGTTTTAGGATCTCGTTATAAAAGAAGGGATAGTGCAAGTGTCCTAGACCTTCATGAACGTTTTCTTCATCTAATGATTTCTTGGTGGTTTCGACCATCCGGAGGTCGTTATTCTACTCTTAGATCCTTAGATCTTTGGTGGTTACATTGTTTCGAAAACAATATTAAAATCAACTTACCTCAGATTATTTTTGCTGAAATTGTTGAAACCGTAAATCTTGTTCCTAACAAAAAACTCTGTTCATCTCTTGTTTACGATTGTATTTTGAGTAATCTGTTTTCCAAAGCTGGGCTTAGAGTCGGTCTAGATGCCGTTTTTCCTCTTAAGAAACAAATTAACCTTCTTTCCTTAACGAGAGTGGGATGGATTAAGGATAAGGAAACCGGTGATTGAGTTCGATCTTCTGCAAATACTCCGGGAGCTAGTTCTTCACAAGCTCCACCCGAAGCTGATGAAGATCTCGAGCTTGAGCAATTAATGTGAGACATCGATGAAGCCGAAGATGAGCCTGAGCAGCCCTAGGAGCAGCCCGAAGAGCAAGTACAACAAACGCATCCAATGCCTCCATATTTCCAATCCTTTATGGAGACATTCGATTTTCGATACGCTACTATGGATTCACGCTTTACTTCTATAGAGTCCCATTTATCCACAATGGGAGCTCAACAATTAGAAATTCTTCGGGAAATGCGTGCAAATAATGAAGCAACCAACGCACGTATTAATGACCTCACTAACAAAATGGTCGCTATGCGAGCTCGTTTTCCTCCTCCTAATTCGGATATATGATTCAATGTTTTGCTTTGAACTCCAAACTTGTTGTTTTAACATTTTGAATATTTTGGAATGTTTGAATTTGTGGATTGATTGACTTTGAATTTGTTTGGATTCATGAATGGTTAAAAATTATCTATTTGGTGTGATTAAATTTATTCATTATTGCATCATTTACTTCATGATTAGATATATGACCAAATTTGCCATTTCACATTAATTATGAATATTGATTATGAAACTAATGGCTAACGTTTCTCTTGCTTGTGATCTTAGCAGCTTATATTATATATAATCAATTGGCTAAATGATTTCAAAACCTTGTTTAAATTCTTTAAAATGTCTTTTTGATTTAACAAAAAGGGGGAGAAGTGTTAAAGGTGTTTTTAAATGATAAATGGGAGAAGTGTTAAAGGTGTTTTTAAATGATAAATGGGAGAAGTGTTAAAGTAAGGGGGAGTAAATTTCAAAACTTGATTGATTTCAAAATCTTAAAATTACTAAAATGTTTTGTTATATCAAAAAGGGGGAGATTGTTGAAAACATTTTGATATTTCGATATAACAAATTAAGTTAAATGAATTTTAAGATTTTCCAAATGATTTTCTAAGTATATTCGATAGAATTATTCGAATATCAAAACATTACTCCAAATCTTTCAAAGATCATTTTTAATCCTTACTCAAAGTGTAAAATTAAGTTTTAAACTTAAAACAATTTCAAAATAATTTTACAAAGTATTTCGAACCATTTCAAAGCCAAAAATTCCAGATTGCTCAGAGGGAACTGATTCCCCCTGAATGGTTTGGCTCCGAGAATTCCAGTATGCTCGGAGGGAACCGATTCCCCCCCCAGGGGGTACCGATTACCCCTTGTATAACGGTCGAAATATTTGAATTTTACACTTAGGGAACCGATTCCCCATAGGGGGTACCGATTCCCCCCACGCTCCAAACTGTTTTATTAATTGTTTTCACACTAAAACGGCTATATTATTTTCTCTAATTATCCCCAACGTTCAGAAGTGATTCAAGGTGTATTTAAGCAAGCTTAGAAGCCATTGATCAAAAACAAGAAACATCAAGCAATTAGAATCAAGAGAGAATCAAAGAGAAAGCATCAAACCTCAAGTTTGAGCATTTCAAGCCTATTTTTCATTCAATATTCATTTTGCTTTCAAGAACACTTATTGTGCTCAATTGTATTTATTCTTGAGTGTTCTTTCTTTGTTCTAGAATTGTGCAAACATATTTGCCTTGTGAGGTTTTTCTTGTAAGTTTGCAAATTTGTATTTCTCTTTGAGAAAAGAGTGTTCTCAAGAATTGGGGTATATTCTTGAGGGAGTTGTAAGGTTATCTCTTTGGCCTCAAAAGAAAGAACAAATTAGTGAATTTGTTGGAAAATCCTTAGTGTGGATAGCTAAGGTAGTGGACGTAGACTTTGGTTGATAAAGTCGAACCACTCTAAATCGCTGTGCAATTTCTTTCAATTCTCTGCAAAAGCTTCCACCAAATTTTTTAATTGCCAATTCACCCCCCTCTTGGCCATATTTGTCAATCGATTAACTCAACACCTTTCCCGGCGAACTTTCCAACTCCTGGCGGCTTCTTTTTCTCTGACGAGGCTCCTACGTGTTCCCACCGACCTTTGATGAGGCAAAGCTTTGCCTTTTGGTTTTGGTTTCGAACGTTTGAGGCCTTTTTTAATTTTTTGACTTAGTTGCTTTCGGTTTTGGCTGAATGTTGCTTGTGTTTGGTGGTTTTTGGTTGTTATGATGATAATGTTTCCTTTTTTCTTGTTGTGATTGTTGTTCTCTTCGATTTTTCTCTAGGATTTTTCTTGTATTCGACAACTTTTGTAGGGGTATTTTATACTCCACCGCCGGTTATTTTTTCCGCTCCCAATGGGATGATGCAATCCCGATATTTGGGGGATTTTTCATGTTGTGTTTCGATTGGACTTTGCTTCCATGATTGTCAAGAAAATCGGGGGACATTTTCCCCTATTTTGCCTCTGTTTCGTTACAATGATTCGGCCGACTGGCCACCGGAAACCGACCCGGGATTCTCGGTCTCATGCATCCTTTTCTTTTCCCATGCAGCGCCTTTGTTAAGTGTGTGTAACCCTAATTCAATTTGGGTTGGGTTAGGCCCCTCTAATCGGGTTTGCTTCCACTGGTCTTGCTGGGTCAAGCTACCCGGTTGGGATCTGTTTTTGGACTATTGGACTCCTTCTGGACCCGGATTGGACCTGAAATAAAAATAAATAAATAATATAATATATAATAAATAAAAAGAAAGATAAAAGTGGAAAATAAAATGTATTAAAACTATATAATATATAATATATTTAGAAAACAATATAATATATTTTCAAAGATTATATATATTATATACTTTTTCAAAAACCATTTAAAAAAAACTATACATATATGTTTTCAAAACAATATGTTTTCAAAAACTATATTATATATGTTTTCAAAACCGTTTTTTAAAACTATATATTATATGTTTTTAAAAATATGTTTTCAAAATCCATTTTAAAAAAACTATATATTATATGTTTTCAAAAACTATACTATATCTTTAAAAACTATATATATTATATATTTTTGAAATTATTATATATATTATCCTATATATATATGTAAAAAAGATCCGGACGAAAATGAGTGTCTACAAACACGTGACACAATTTAAGTGAAAATCATCTAATAAAATGGTAAAAGAACACATCATTTTGAAGTCCACATAAACATTATACTATAATCATAGTATCACAATTCCTTTTACCCAAGTATGTGACTCTACTGATAGCTATCAACAAGTGATTCAGATAGCTATTTTCAGACATACTAAATTGTTACGATCGTGTGTTTAGAGATTGAAAGTAGAACTCGTCCTAGGGAATTCCAAACTAGGACTCACTGGAGACAATCTTAATTATCATAAAAATTGATAAAAAAAAAATCAGGCTTAACTTTATTTCGTTCAACTTAACCTCTTAAATAGAGGTTACATTAGGTCAAATAAAAGAGTCAGTAGTTAAAAGCAATTCTAATACTAAGGAGACTTCTAACCAAGTAATGATATAAAATACTCATTAATATAATTTCATAATACAATATAATAAATAGATTTCCTAAAAATAACCAAATAATTGACGCCAATAATAATATTGGCTACAAAGACAACTCATAACTAGGAATTTAAATTGTGGCTGCGATTATGTTTTCGGTTGTGTTAAACTTATCACAATTTCGACATAATGGGTGTAATTACAATGATTGTGGGTATCGTGGTCGAGCAATAACGGTTTTAGACGACACCACTACCGCTATATAGCGTACGTCACTGAAAGAGCTTTTGCATAAGTTCTCTTCAAGCCTTCGAAAGATCTTCCACATAAATAACCTTAAAGTCTTCAAAAGCTTCACTTCCTCTAAACGATTTTTTACAATCGCACAAGAGGTGGTTAGCTATTTATAACTTCATCAAACCCTGATTTCCGCTCAACAATATACCTTACAAAATTGAAATTACCCATGTAAAGATGCTACATTCAAAAGGACCCAATAGACACATGCTTGTTTATATCTTCCATCAATAACTATATTTCTTTAAAAAAATTCTATTGAAGTATTTATATATTTTATTTCGCCGAATTCAAAAATTAAATTAATATTTTCAAAAACAAAGATTTGATTGATGTTTTATTTAAAACTAAATTAATATTTTATTGATCAAACTAAAATTTATTAAGCCTAAGGTTTGAAGCTGAACATACCCAAAATAAAAATGGTCAAAATATAATTTTTCAAAACTAATAACTAAAATAAGATAAATTAAAAATGAAAAGCACCACACGTGTAGTTGATCGAGTTTGACCTTAACAGCTTTATCAACAAATTTTAAAAATAAAAATAATCTATTACTTTTTTTTTAAATATTCAATTGATGTTTTTGGATTAGATCGAACAAAAGTGGATTTTTTTTTTTTTGCTTCTGAGATAAAACAAATTGCTAAAGAAAAAAAAAAACTTTAAAATTATCTGATGAAATAGGAAATTACCGTCATCAGATTAAAAGGTATCAAACTTTGAAAGCAGAATCCAGGGATTCGGATATTTGTTTCTCTGTTTCTTCCTCTTTCTATTTCTCTCGCGGTAATGGAAGCTGATGTATCCATTCCCTTCTAACGCCCCTCACAATTGAATCTCTGTCGTTCTACGGGGAGCTAGGGTTTTCTTTTTGGATCGAATTTCTTCGGGGGTTTTCAAATTTTTGATTATTCGATGGAGATGAATCGAGTTTTGTTGTTGTTATTATTATTATGGTTTCTCTGTTTATCGAGTGTTTTCTTGATGACGTCAGCCAGTGTGATCTTGATTGGTAATAACGTTACCCTCTCTTTCGATGACATTGAAGCTAATTTTGGTGAGCTCTTTATCCTCAGCAATTTTCTTTATTGGTTCCTGAGAAAGCATGGGAAAAATTCTAGGAATATCTTGACCTTCTCGGTGACAAAAGTTGAATAACTTCGTTTTCTTGTCTTTAAGCTGCACATATTGATCTGTTGAATATATAATTTATTTTGCTAATTATAAATTGTGCATCAGATGAAAAATTGAGTTAGTTTTGTTTGATTGAAGTTAGAAATTGAAGCATGTTGGTGTTGAAATATAACTGATTCTCCCCCTTTTTTTTCTTTTCGTAATTTGCAGCCCCAGCAATTAAAGGGTCAGGGGAATGTGGGGTATTATATTTGGCAAAGCCTCTTGATGGCTGTTCGGATTTGAGTAATAAAGTTGATAAAGTTTCCAACGTTTCTTCCCCATTCGCATTGGTTATTAGAGGAGGCTGCAGTTTTGAAGAGAAAGTAAGGAGAGTACAAAAGGCAGGATTCAAAGCCGCTATTGTCTATGACAATGATGATGATGGTGTCCTGGTTGCAAGTACTGCCCTACTTCTTTGAAAATCATCTTTCTATGCTCAATGGTTGCAATTGAATGTTTCTGTACAGTTTGGTAAACTTGACTTTCTAATAATTACCATTGGAACACCTTGTAAATGCATATACAATAAACCTTTTTGTTGTCAATAAAATCTTAAGAGGTCTTTAACAGTTTTTCCTAGAGAAATAGAAATACCAATCATAAAAAACTTGTCATCTTCTTGGACCCTTTGGATTGCTTTTTGACAGTACTTGTAAATCCTTGATTGTACAAGTTGAATTAGTTTTTGTTCACCCAGTCAGATTTTTTGACCATAAGCATTCTTCTTTATCCTTATTTGTAGGATGGTCATTTATTGTGAATTGGCAATCATTAAACTATATTTATGCTTTATGAAAAAAACATGGGTAACCTTGTGGACCTCGACTTTATTATGTACAATGTGCTTTTCATCTTTAGCAGGAAATGGTTTGACTTTGTGGTTCAGCAAAGTCTGTTAAAGATGTACTTGGAGAAACAAGATTCATATGATGTAGAGTCCCCTTACTCTTATTAAATTTTAATAGAAATAGAAAAGTTTTCATCCTACTTTACGGCAAAGTATCTGATCTCTGATATAAATTCTATTCTTAGTTTTGTTTCTCATGCATACAATTGTGTGAACAATTTTTTAGTCGATAGGTCTTAGGAGACAGTTTTACCCCCTTTTTATTCCGTTTTATTCCATTTTATTCATACATTTACCACATTCATGCAAAACTCGATTGCATAGTGGCTTCTGTAAGGTAGTATGCATATTATAATGCTTAAACAGTTTACTAGGATAACTTTATCAGTCTTATATATTCAGTTCCTTAGATTTACTACTGGTTGAGTAAACATGTTACGCCTGTTAATTTGTAAATGCAATTATACATGCTGGATCAATCTTCTACAAGTGAACTTTTGGATTGCTGGAATCAACGGTCCAGAAGTTGCCGTTTTTTGAGTAGATTGCAAATGAAAAAGTAGGGTGCTGAAATAGCATAATTAAAATAGATGTTTTTTAGGACAGCTGGGTATTTTTGTGCACTCTGAGTGCTTTCAAGAAGAGTGAGAATAAGGACCAAATATTTACCAGCACTTATTTCATCTACGTTTATAAATATGCTGCCATTATTCACATATGGGTATGTTTGTTTGTGGTCCAGAATTTTTGCTTTACTTTTAATAAGTCATTAAATGGAAGATGTTTAATTGTTTCAGTCATTTGCATCATTCTTGAACTAAAACACATTTTTCTAGATGGACCTCTGAGTTTAGCTCATGCTTTTTTTTTAACAGTGGCAGGGAATGCAGCTGGAATAAAAATACATGCTGTCTTTGTTTCCAAGGCTTCTGGTGAAATACTCAAAATGTATGCTGGGTCTACTTATATGGAGCTGTGGCTAATCCCTAGCTTTGAAAACTCAGCATGGTCAATCATGGCCATCTCCTTTGTTTCGCTACTTGCCATGTCAGCAGTGCTGGCAACTTGTTTCTTTGTACGCAGACATCGCATTAGGCAAGAACGCCCTCAATCTTCTCGAGTTCGTGAATTCCATGGAATGAGCCGGCGTTTGGTAAAAGCAATGCCTAGTTTGATATTCACTGCAGTCTTGGAAGATAATTGTACATCAAGAACCTGTGCAATATGTCTTGAAGATTATACTGTGGGAGAGAAGCTCAGGATTCTTCCATGTCGACACAGTAAGCTTCTTACAACACTAAGGATGATGTTTCCGGTTATTTTTCTGTGCTAATTGTGTTTGTTTTAAGGTGGTAGCCTAGTGTCTTTTTGTATGTATTTGCATAGTAATCAGGTCACCAATCTCACACAACCTTGTTTTTGGGGTGGCTATCATATTTCTCCTTTCTCTCAATGATTTTTGGCTGTTTTCAGAAGTGTGTTTTTTGTGTTAAATGGATATAAAACAATTTGGTCCATTTGGTTTAGAAGCATTCATATACTAATAATTAGTTGTTTAAGAGTTCAAAAATAATACACTGTGCATGTAGCATTTTCTGACTAGTAAGCAAAACTCAATTAAGGGAAAGTTGGGGTGGTTTTTTTCTTTGGGGGGGGGGGATAGACAATGTTTCTTGGCATTTCTAATGTATCAGAAAGTATAGTTGTTGACTAGTACGCCTATGTAAATTCACAATAGCTTCCATCATCATGTTTAGGTGTTGTTCTTTGTTCTTATACTTGAGCACTTTTAACTAATTACAGAAACTGTGATTAATAGGTACTTTTTCCCCATTAAAAAAATTCTCAAATGACACAAGTTAGATCTGGGTCAAAAATACATTCTTGTTTATAGTATCCCCAAATGTTGGAATTTGATCACCATGTGGGACGTGGTGATCTTAAAATTTTCAGATTTATGTTCTTCCCATTCATTTAAAGATTCATATGTGCTCTTGGTCAAATCAAGATTCAAGGAACAGATTTGTATTGCTATTACTGTACTAAACAATGTAACTATAAAATCTTTGCCTTAGAATATAATCAAATTTTTTAGTAAATAATTTTGCTTACTTAGTGTGACAGGCTTTTAGTTAGCGATCCTTTTGTTTGTGGTGAGGATTTGCTAAGTCTTGCTTCTCTTTATGTCTGATTGTTGTTTCCTACCCAGTGACCGAGTAGGATCCTCTTCAATGTTGCGATATTAAGCTGCAAGATATCACTTGGTCTGAGATTTTTTCCGATGACTTCTATGGTGGTTGTCATTACGGTTAAACTAATCTGTTTGATGTGATGAATACTTTCAGATTAGAAAGTGTGTATTGATGTTTGTAAGACGTACGAACAATATGCAAGATCAAATGGATCAGCTTTCAATTGTAGACCAATCAGAATTTCTACATAATATTTCTTCTATGAATATTGATTTTACATTGGTTATTTATTTATTGCTTCCTATTTTTATTTGGAACAGAAAACTATGTGATTGTAGACTCTTGCTATCATTATTGCCTACGTAATAGTTACATTTGTGAAGCTTCTTTAACATGTTAATAGATTCTTTCATTATTTGAATTGTGGGGTTTATGTTTTATATGCGTATATCTGAATATTTCTTGGCATTTTTTCCCCAGAGTTTCATGCTTTTTGCGTTGATTCATGGCTTACAACATGGAGAACTTTTTGCCCTGTATGCAAGCGTGATGCGAGAACCAGCGCAGGTGATCCTCCAGCATCGGAAAGTACACCATTGCTTTCATCCACCCCAAGCTCTGTGTCGTCCTCTGCATTGTCATATACACGATCTTCATTAGCATCATCATCATCAGCCATACGAATAGCCCCAGCAGTATCTCCGTCGCCATCTATTTCTCACAGTCATTCTCGGGCCGGCACCCCATATATTCAGCAATCACTTAGGTCCTATCATCAATCTCCTTCCAGAAGCTCAGTGGATCTTAGGAATGCATCTTCCCAAAGATCTCGTGCTACTCATCTGGTTTCACCGGCCTCGTTGAATTACCCTTCTATATCCCCTCTTAATACAAGATACATGTCGCCGTATTTTCCAAGCCCAAGCAATGAGTCACCAGGTTTAGTCAGTTCTTCCGGTCACCTGCTGCATCCACTTCATTGTAGTGAGTCGGCTGCTAGTTTTTCTCCATTTGCATCTGCCCATTCTCTTCCAGAATGTTAATTAAGTGGTAATGAGTTGAATTTCATAGAATGTTTTTTTTTTAATTTTTGATGTTTGAACTGTGAACTTGTTGCTACTGCTACTGCTACTGGATTTGTACATTGAAACATAAGATGTGTTTTCTGTCAGATATTGCGATTCCCAGAATGATAAGTGGCTCTACATAGAGTTTATACTGAGGATTATTAGCATTGTTTTAGCAGTCTTGAGGATCACTTACCACTGAGAATGTAAAGAAAACTAGAAGCTGGCACATCATTAATTATATAATTTGTAAAACAAAAATTGGAAAATTCTTTTTATTTAATTTATAAAATAAGTACAAAAAAATCAAATATATTCAATATATTTTTCCTTGATTTTTTTATAAGGAAAGACAAATTTATTAGGATGGGCACGGGATTTAAATCCTATGGGTTTCAATCCGATTCGATTTAATTGGGTCGGTTTTTTATTTATAAAAAGATTGGGGTTGAGTATGGTTTTTTAGAGGATAAGTTTGGGTAAAATTGAATATGAGTTTAGGGTGAATAATATTTGACCCAACCAGAAAAATAATATAATTATACTTTATATATTTAGGGATAATTGTAAAAATATCGCTCTTTATATTTTTTTCAAATTAAGTCCCTATTTTATTGAATAAAATTAATAAAATAATTTTATATTTGGTTTGAGTCTAGTCAGAGTCAGAGTCGGGTTTTATCTTAAAAGTAGGACTGGTGAAATTATCTTAAATTCAGGTCGAATTTCGAGTGAAGAATATAAAATTTTCGGATCAGGTCGGATTGACAGAAAACCAGAATCAACCCATCCATGTCCATCCCTAAAATTTAGTATAATATTGCGAAAAAAATAGGGGAAATAAGGTTCAGGAAAATTAGTTGAAGATCTATGGCAAACGTTATTTGTGTATTTGGAGCTCATCATTTTCATTTGATGAGTTTGATGGAAAATAATTTTTTAATAGAATAAATCGTGTACATCGGGACGAGGTCTATGGTAATTAATTTTTTTAATTTAATTTAATGAAATCGTATGTCATTTTGACAAGTTTTATTAGCGAAATAAAGATATATATATATATATATATATATTTTACCGTTGGGTTTATTATATTACATATATATATTTTGATGAGTTCCTATGGAAATATTTGTTGGGTTTCAAAATTTCGATTGTTGCTCTTGTGGTATAGAATTTTATTGTGTTTTGTAGAGAAAAAAAGAAGTCTGAGCGAAAGAATTTGAGATTGAAGCATTATTTCGGAATCTTTGAGGTTATTGTTAATTTTTTTTAATTTTTTTATTATTTACATTGTAATTGTTTTTATTATATATTATTTGGCTTCAATTTTTTATGTTTAAATAATTTGTTAATATTCTAATGTTGTTTTGCAGACTTAATATGATGCCAAGAGAAGAAATGTTAAGTATAGATGTTAATCATATTTTATCTTATCCGATTGATTCAATATAATTATATTTTAATTAAATTTTAAATAATATTATGTTATTTGTGTAATTTATTTTTATCTAATTTTCAACGTAGGAAGAACAATTCCTCCGTCATCGAGGGATGAAGAGTAGGAAGTTAAACCAATTGATCGTTCCATATTTGTAACAATCTAGTTTCTATAATGTCACTTTTTATTTGGTTATAAGTTGATGCCTCCTCTAATTTCAGGGTTGATCAAACGTTGGAGATCCAAAATTCATATGTTTCATCTTTCTTGTGAAGTCACAATAACTTTTAAAGATGTGGTTATACTTATACAACTTGGTGTCCCAATAAGTGGTACAACAGAGGTGGGACATAACAATCATGATGTAGAACAAATTTACCAAGCGTATTTGGGGAAGGTGCCTTCAAAAGAAGAAATAGATGAGTTACGGATCAGAGTCACATGGTTGAAAGGGCCATTTAAAGTCAATCAAAAATCAACCAATGAAGATATCATATATGCAATCCGATCATATATATATTCTTCTATAAGTGGTACAACAGAGGTGGGGCATAACAATCATGATGTAAAACAAATTTACCAAGCGTATTTGGGGAAGGTGCCTTTAAAAGAAGAAATAGATGAGTTACGGATCAGAGTCACATGGTTGAAAGGGCCATTTAAAGTCAATCAAAAATCAACCAATGAAGATATCATATATGCAATCCGATCATATATATATTCTTCTCCTATTGTTGGAGGAATATTATTGTTGGAGGAATATTGATGTCGAATAAATTTATTAATATGGTTTCCTATTGTTGGAGGAATATTATTGTTGGAGGAATATTGATGTCGAATAAATTTATTAATATGGTTCACATGCAATACCTTTTTTCTTGTAAGTTTTTATGAATACATGTTATTCCAGTTAGGGATCCGTAATTTTGGCTTTCTTATATTACAATCTGGGCATAGTACCGACTTTCGTATTTTACATCAATTACCTAATTTTTAGTTAAGTTTTCTCTTACTACAAGGTAATATTTTAATTTACTTTCTTAAAATATTTTTTTCCTATAATCATTTTGTTAAATATATATGATACTATGGGAGATAAATACATATTTTCTATTTAGATGACAGTATAAAATTGAAGATTCAAGGTTGATCGTGTGGAACCAAATTAGATGTAAAAATGAAGATATATAGAGAGGGTAGATATGAGGTATCATTTCTGAAATTTTGTTACATAATAAAAAACTTTGTTTTTTTATGTATAATAACTTTTGTTTCTTTACAGTTTAATGGGATGTCATATGTCAACAATGCATTTCAAGAGTGTATACCATGAAATGTGTTAGAAGAGGTGTGTTGTTATGCCGTTGCTCCACTTTACAATTGTTGAGGTGTAGTCTGCCAAAAGAGTATTGAGACAATTTGATTTCCATCAGCCCATTTTGAGAAAAATATACCGAATGGACGAGCTCAACAAAATAGATGGGTGGGAAAAGAACAAAGAAAATTTGGTGAACATACATGCTTAATACATCCAAAATATGAATAATAAGCATTTATATTTTTATTATACTCAACTTGAAGATGATTTTGAGTTCACAAGATCGACTACCTTCTCAATTACATAGAAAATGTGAAACAATAATCGACAACGAAAAATAAGAAATGATGAATGAGCGAAAATGAAGAATAAATATCGAAGGGAGAGAAATCATCATCATCATCATTGAGTTGGGGTGCATCTAAAAAAAAGTTATGATGGCACAAGATGGGGTGGGAGTTCATGTTAGACTGGCTCATATCAAGCTTCTTATGATTCCCACCCTCGCATGGGTTGGGAAATAAACGAGTAATTTTCCTATAACCAGACTAGTGAGAATGCAAAATAAAAGCGGAATAATAATACCTGAAATTGATAACGGAGTTCGGACAATTAGGCCTACGTCTCTAGACTGCTGCATATCTTTTACTAAAGGGAGAAAATTTACAGGTGTCTACAAAACACTCACAATTCACAAGAAAAATCTCTAAACTCTTTAGTATTAGGAGAAAAAAATGATTTGGGATTATTTTAAAGCTAAATGAGTTAGGGTATTTATAGTTGAAGCTTAAGGACTAATCTTGTAAATACCCTAAAGTATAGGGACTAAACTTGGTAATTTTCCCTTGCTAATTTTCCACCATTTCAACTACCAACTTTCAACCAACTTGCAACCAACTTGCTGCCAACTTTGAACCACCAAATTAACGGTGGTTGCAGCAAAATATGATCATTGAAAGTTGTAAATTATTGACTTTTCAACAATCTCTCACTTGATGACTGATTTTAATCTGTCTTCACACCTCGATCAATGCAGCAACATTTCTGGTCTTGTTACTCTAGCATGCCAACTGAAGCTGAACACAACTTCAGTTTGTCCGTAGTCACCGTCTTTGTTGACATAAGCGAGTCCATCTCATCTTTCATGGAAGACTCCCACTTGACTGAATCCTTCACTTGCATTGCTTCATCATAGCACTCTGGTTCACCATTGTCAGTGAGCAACAAGTAGTGCAAAGAAGGCGAATAATACTAGGTTGGTTTAGAAATTCTGGTGGAGCATATCAGTTTTGGTGTGCCTGGTTCTTCTTGAACTACTTCAGGATTGATCTGAACATCATTTCTAGAAATCTCCTCAAACTCAACAAATTCATTTGTTTCAGCTTTGGTATTGGAGCTACTTGATTTTATGGTTGACCTGCCTTTGTACATCATATTCTTTTTGAAAATGACATCTCTGCTTCTGATGATCTTTAATTTTCATAGTCCCAAAAACGGTAACCAAACTCATCACCACCATAACCAATAAAGACACATTTGTTGGACTTAGCATCAAGTTTACTTCTTTCAGCAGAATTTATGTGTACATAAGAAATACAACCAAACACTCTTAAGTGTGAAAGGTTTATTTCTTTTCTTCTCCAAACTTCCTCTGGTATTCCACCATTCAAGGGAACTGAGGGCCCACGATTGATCAGGTAAGCTGCAGTGTTGATAGCTTCACCCATAGCAATTTGGGTAAGCAGGTATGCATCCTCATGCTTCTGGCACGTTCATTCAGAGTTCTGTTCATGTGGTCTGCTACGCCATTCTGTTGCGGTGTCATGGGAATTGTTGTCTCCATCTTGATCCCATTGTTTGTGGAAAATTCTCTGAATCTATTATTTTTATACTCTCCTCCATTATCAGACCTCAACCACTTGACTTTCAAACCAGTCTCATTTTCCACCACGGCCTTTCATTTTCTGAAGGTATCAAAGACTTCTGATTTCTTCTTCAGAAAATAAACTCATACATTCCTTATAGAATCATCGATGAAGGTGACATAATATAGTGAGCCTGAAAGAGATGAAACTGGAGATGGTCCTCATACATCAGTATGAACCAACTCTAACTTTTCTCCCTTGGGTGTCTTGCTAATCTTTGCAAAACTAACTTTCTTTTGTTTGTTAAAGATGCAATCCTCACATAGTTCGACATCTATACTCTTTAGATCCGACA